ACCCCCCACCCCTGCTTTGGCATCTCTTCTAAAATCTTTAGACTGAAGATAGGGGTTACATCAACACCACTCTTACATTGTCTTCTCTCTTTTCTACCATCTCCATATTTTGTCATGTAAGAAACAAATACAGCAGGAAAGGATGCAGTCAGAAGAACTAACTGGGTATTGAAGTGTAGAGAAGAATCTCTCTTAAACAATTATACATCACAGGCAATGAAAAAATATGAAAAAAAAAAAAGAAAAGCAAGAAGCCACATCATTTAGATTCTTATATTTTAGAGCCCTGTTGTCCCACGTCCAGGGAATTACTTTGGCCAGTACACAGATCTCTGAACATTGTTAAGGAGGCACTCTCTTGCTGCAGGGATGTTTTACACAATGTCCCAAGGGGTGATGTTAAAGCAGTGCCGTATCCACCACGTTTTCAAATAGCTTTATTTAATAAGTGTCTTTACCAGAGGAAGTTTCACACAGACTGCTGTTTCAACACTTTTTAGACATGATGACCTAGGGACCTAATTATCATCCTAAAGGACCTCATTATTCTTTTCAGTTATGATAAAATACTGACAATACTATCAAACAGCATTTATATGCTTCTACCGTAATTTGAACATACATTACAAACAGGGCTTATTTTTATAAAACATAAAAAGTAAGTTCAAATTTTTTTTGGAACTTAAAAAATCATTATTTTGTTGAAGATATATATGGAAAGATGCTTATTTCTGATTCACGCCTACTCTGGCTTTTACAAGAATTTTCTGGTTATTGGTTCTGCCAACTTAAGATTCATGGCATGATTCGTTTCCACTTGTGGGGTAAAACAGGAATCCCCCACTCAGAAACACCATGGGAGGAGGAAAAAATAACAGCACTGCTTTTCAGCACTCATGTCACCAGCACAGACTGAAGCTGGCTACTGAATTACAGGTTTGAAGAGGTTGCCTGAGAAAGGCAGAAAGACAGTGCCATCTTATAGGCCTAACTACCTAAAGGGAATACATAAAATATGTGTAAGAAAAAGACAACATGAGGGAAAAGGGGAAAAAAAGACCAACACCTCACAAGAAAATGACCTTGTATCAATTGGCAGAGACTTTAAAAAAAAAAAAAAAAAAACACGTTAGTTACAGTAGTACATGCTGACTGTTCACGTGCATGCCTACCGATAATGTAGATAAAACTCTACGTATAGTGAGAAGCATTTATAGTACACTCTGGTAGGACCAAAACCAAATTATTCTGCATTAACAGTAATACATGTATAAAAGAAAGCCATTGTCTGTGGAGATCATAGCACAGGTGATGCATTCACTTCAGGTGAAATGATGATCAGAACAAGATCCACAGATAATTAAGTTTAATCTTTCCTGCCCAAACTCATTATCCTTACTAATATGGATTTACATAAGCCAATTCGTACTACCTTTCTTGAATTATGCCAGCACATATTCTGTAAGATAAAACTTCTGTAATCATTTGTAAAATCTCACCATTTTTTCACAAGATTATTTCTTGCACCTTCTTGGCATCAGTTCCTGGAATAATAAGCTTTTACTGCATTTTGCAATAGAAATACAAGACCTATGCAAGGCAAGTTTTCCAAGGAAAAAACACCTGTAAATGAGAACTTTTCAGAAGGAATTAAACTGACTATTTCAATTAAGTTGGGGTTTTTTTGAGTTACGTATCCATAACTACAAGAGGAAAAGAATGAATAGAAGTCTTTGACAAAGATAAAGGGGAAAAAAAAAAAAGAAAAAGAAAAATATGGATTTGTAATTGTACAACTTCCCATTAATTAATCAGATGGTTTCTTCAATTGTTCTATTCAGAAAAAAAGACATTTTATAGCTTTCTGTAAGATGTCATCAAACCCCCTATTATCAAATTATAATCTTTGCATCTAAGTATATTAAATTTAGTCCCCCCCCTTTTGGTAGAATAATCTCTTATCTAGTATGGTCTTACAGCCATAACGTGCTGAAACATGTTTAAAGAATTCTGTGTGAAAAGATGGTTGTTTTTCAACTACTTAGAAATAAAAAGCATGCTTTAAGAACACAGTAAAACATGACTGAACAGTGTTTTGGGTATTATATTGCTAATTTTAATCTTAGTCCAAACTCCAGCTATTTATTCAATAAGTGTCATAATTTCTATCTTACCATTATTCGACATTTTAAATTGTCATATGCACTGAAAATCTCAAAGCATTTGGCAGATTATTGCACAAATGGCTGATGTGTGAACAGATTCTGGAAAGTCTCGTTACTCCATTCAATAGAGCATACCTGCAAGCCACTTCAATGGCTTTGGATCTGCCAGCAACCGATCTTTAATACCTCCCTGGTTTGAATAAGTAGTATTTCCTCCCCTCTTCCTTTTTTCCTTGAAGTGCATGCTGAGAGCAGAACTATTGCAGTTGCCTGTTCCCTAAGTGTTGCTGAGACCTCATTGCAACAACAACCTAAAACTGAATCTGCTATGCTAACACTGGGAAATCCCCCAAGTTCTGCAGCCTCTGTTATCTTTTCCCCTCATTGCTCAGCTGTGGCCCTTGCCAAAGCCTGTTTTCCGTCCTTTCCGTTGTGCCCACATTTGTTTCTACCACTAACAGGAAGGAGGTTTGAGGTTTCCATTTTCCAGTTCTCTCGGCTGTGCTGGATTCCCTGAGGATCACAGTGATGTCCGATCAAGGCAGCACAGGGCAGTATTAAACCTTCACCACTAGCCTTGTCCTAAATACACAGCTGATCCACCCGGACCAGCTCAGCATATGAAACGTAAGGGCTCTCATCTCCCTGGCATTAAGCCATAGCAGCCCCGCAGGGCCCCCGTAAGACAGTGTCCCACAGCAGCGCTACTCAAAATGGGTGCGCCAGTGCTTTCCGACACGAGTCACAGAATGGATATGGTTCATAACAGGATTTCTGCATTCCCCTATCTGGGCTTCTGTAATTTCATTTCAATTTCTCTTTGATCTTACACAGGTGGTATTACCCTTCACCTAGAAAAGACAACTGATACTGTGATTCAGCTATGTTCCAGCTTCCTTTGATGAAATCATCTGGAAGGGGGTTTTATAACATTGTCCTTCCTCTTATTCTCTCTAAAAGATGACTGCAATCAAGCCTCAGATATTAAGACTAGTGTTCGAATTAATAAGCTATTTAACGCCTTTACCTGAATGTTTTATTAGTTTAAAGATTACCTTTAAATATTTGTACTGGCTTCCAACAATAGATTCTTTGGAAGTTCCAGTATTCTTACTACACAAACAGAAACCCTCTTAAAATTGAATAATATTTGTTCCTGAGATATGTGGGGATTCACACCATACAAACATCAACTTGTAAAAGCAGGTTCATTTTACCAGAAAGAAAGGTGGAAGTAAATGAAAAAAAAGAAAGTAGAATTTCTGAAGTGGAAGGGAATCAGAATACTGACCAATAATGAGCACTTTTTCCTTTGCAAAGCTAGTGAGGTAAGACCGAAGTTAGATGATACAAACCCAAACAAATCCTCATACCTTCAGTCCATTTACGTTATCTCTACTGCTACAGTCTTATCTGTGGCTCTTTGACAGGTGCTGTTTTCAGAAGCACTGTGCCCAGACAGAACTGTCTCCATGGGCACACACTCCACAGGCAGCTCTAGAACCACCAGGGGCTTGGGCACGGCATGGAAGCATGGAATATTATATTAAACACCCTCTGGCTTAGGCTTATGTGTTCTCATTCACATATGAGTGGAATGTTCTAAAACCTTTGTTCATTAGTAGTATTTACAGAATATGAGTACAAGCCCCCAACTGTAGAAAAATGATAAAATAAATATTAGTGTTAGTTATCTTTGAACATTAGCCCTTCTACTTAAGAACCAGTCTCTCAAAATTAATGCTACAATAAAAAGCATTCTGTATTTTTTTTTCTTCTTGTTTGGCTAAACTTACTGATAGCTTAGATTGTGCCTTTTTTTCTTTTCCTTTGTCCCCTTTTCTGTTGCTGGTAAAGTAATGCAAGGTGCCATATTCCATCAAGGCAGCGAACACAAAAATGAAGCAAACTGAAACAAAAAGGTCCATTGCCGTCACGTAGGAAACCTTTGGGAGTGACTTCCTAGCAATTGTACTCAACGTTGTCATGGTCAGCACTGTTGTAATGCCTGTTTGAGAAAAAAAGAAAAAAAGACAGGAAGAGGGAAGTGTATGAGTAATCCAATCATATTGTCACAAAAAATCCTCAAATTAGCCCTTAATTCCTTCATAAGGCATACAAGAACTGAGCCACAGCAGGCTTCACCACTGTTCACACCGACACTCATCGGTCCTATTGCAAGAAGCCATCCCTATGGATCCAGTGGCCACCGTGGGATCATACAGAAGGCAGCACATTTCACCTTCGGTTTAACTCCCTCTCATTTTCAACACACACTGAATAAACAAAGACACAGAGAAAGTTTGTGTAATTTTATAAATCTGTTATAGAATGCACACATAAAACAAATACAATGGACAAACTGGTACAAATAAGCACACAAATTTTATAAACACAGAAAAAGTCCTTTGGCTCTTGAGAGATTAAAATGTACAAAAGGACACATTCAGAAAAAAAAGTAAGTTATTTATCAATGATTTCAAACTTTCAGAAAACACGAGAAGAAAGAATAATATTTTCCATTGTTTGCTTCTGACATGTAACAAGTCAAACTAGATGACTTTCATGGCCTTTCTGGTCTCATTCTAAGTTACTAGGTATTTTTTCAATACTGTGTCTTAAGTAATAGAAAAGGTTTCCCTTGATTCACTTACATACAAGTTAATTAAAAGAGCAAGCTAGCTTTAATAGTGATGTGTTCAGAATCTCAACTACACCACTCTTCACTGGTTTAACATTTAGAAGGTGTTAATACTTTCTTCTTATATTTGATGCTTCAGGGACATGCAAAGCCTTTTTCATAGTAGTCCAAAATTAAGAGGTGACCTTTCCTTTGGAGAGCAATACTTGAACACACAAATAATTTGTTATTTACATGCACAGGCTTATTGCAAAAAATGTGTTACACCACTCTAAGGCTGTCTGTGGCATGGAAGCAGGGGTCACTATGGACTGATCCTGCAGCAGGAAAGCAATGGTGGTTTTGCAACAGATTTCCCAGCAAAATTACATGCCTAAAAGGGCAAACAGATAACCACAGTTTTTCAGAAGTGCTTCACTCCCACTAGATACTTTTGAAAATCAATTAGGCATTTCTTTGCATAATTAAATATCTAAATAACTTTAATCATCACAAACTTTTTGCTTTGGGAAACCATAATCTGCCAGGATCTTTCAATATATACAGCAGAAAAAGGCCCAAGCCTTTTCAGCGTACCAGACCCCAGCATAACCTCTAGGTGGGAGTGACGCCCACCATTCCCCTTACTGACTTCTGTTCAGAGAGGACAAAGGGAGACACGACTTTCCCGGCCCTCTCCACTATGTAAAAGGCATACAGGGGGCTGTCCCAGGGAACGAATCTTCCACAGCATCACGACTACTTGCCACAGCGGACCTTGCTTAGTTCGGGCTTTCTTGTCTTAATTTCTCAGTCTTTTTCTATAAAATTTTGTCTATTTGACTGGTATTCTCTTTCTTCTTCACCAAAACATCTGCATGTGAGAAAAGTCATCCTACAATCTGTCAAACGACGGCTTCTGCGTGTTCACACAAAAGGAGCTCGGAGTTAACTGTGGGGAGCTGTAAATATGATACTGCAAATGTTTGTAGTGCATCTCAAGTAGATGAAGGTTGGTACTGCTGAAGTGGGAGCATGAAAACTCTAGCTTAGCCATGAGATCAGAGGCAAATTCGCTAGGTTCATGGCATAGAAAAAGTACTCTGTAAAAAGAACAAAATGGACACAGAACTAGCAGGATACCAATATAACAGTTTTTCCTCTATAGCTAGTGTCTTTCCAGACAGTACCCACAATGATGTCCAATGATTAGTGAGTCGAAGAAATCTTATAATAAATTTCTAAATCAAGATTTGAAACTATCAAGAGATAGTTTCACTTATTTATTCAAGATTTTAGGCTTTCTTCACTAAACTTTGCAGTACTTTTAAATAGCATAAAGTTAAGATCCAAGACTCGGATTTTCTTCCCTTACCTGTTCATTAGGCTACTGAGTCATGCTTATTTTTGCTTACTTTCTTTCTTGACTCATTAATCTTGCAGGCTTGACTGCACAGTGGTCCAGTTTCAGTGGGAAAGGCAGGGAGTTAAAGCCTGGACTCACCCTTCTGGTAGGAAACGCTCCTAGAACGTGGGAATGGTGTGTTCACAATCCTATAAGCTGATGAGGAAAATTAACTCACATCTCTCACTTCCTAAGATACACTCTCAGCTCTTGATCTTCCCCCCAAAATAGGTCATACTGCCATCACCAGTTTTACTAGAAGCATCTGTCACTGCTAACCTCAAAGTTGCTAGTGTGCGTCCTGTGCACTCCACGCACCCCTGTCTATCCTGCTTTACGTGGGGACCACGACGCTTCTCCAAGGCAGCGCATGAATCCTAAACGGTCAAACGTAGGAGACTGACACCATGCTAAACAGGTCAGCCAAGATGACACTAACACAGAATTATCTCTGTAGCAGAACTTGCAATACACTTCAGTACTGTCTATAGTAAAAGCAGGACAGTGAGTCAGTTTTTGTGAGTTATATGCTTAACTGCTTGAAGTGCAACTTTGGTTGCAAATTTTCTGTCCTATCCTGGGCTTAAAAGAACAACTGAATCATTTCTATTATTAAAAAAACTACCAACACCAACAACATCCCCCTGGGAAAAAACCAAACCAAACCAAACCAAACCAAACCAAAACAAAACCCCAAAAACCAGATCTTCACAGTTTTCGCCTGTGTAGTAATGACATCCTTTGTTCCATGATGCTAAGTGTAGTTTAATCATACCTGTCAGGCTAATGATTGCCATATTGCCATCCCTAGAGTTGACAAAAAGAACATAAAGGAGAAAAAATGTATTTATGTGAACAACAGCAGATCCACAAGGCTTGGATCAGGATTTCCAGATTTCCATTCTCAACACTGCCTCCTTAAGCCCTGCTGTGCAACCACAGCAGGATCCTCCTACTCTTAATCTTGCAGTTCAAGAGAAAGGGTGACCAATGGTCACAATCTGGAGGGGAACAAACTGGTTAATTTACTCCCCACTGTAAATTTATATCCCTGGGAAGTACCAGACCCTTCAAGGTCTTTTTCAAGGTTGAAAAAAGACATTCTTACCCAGAGAAGTCCTTGCAGGAACTGCATCCTTATTGATCCAAAATGACACCCATGAAAGAACAACTGTGAGTATACAAGGAATGTATGTCTGAATAGTAAAATATCCCATACGTCTGCTGAGATCAAAGAAGATTGTCATAATAATATAATCACCTATAAATTAAAAAAAAGAAAAAAATACTTACATGACATTGAAAATGGTTTTCAGTTGTATCTTCATCTGCTAGTCTTGTTCTACATAGATATTACATCAAATAAAACTTAACACTTTGCCTTACCAGACAAGGTATGAGAAATTTCTGTTGTATTTCGTAATCCTACAAATGCAAACTGATACAATCTCCAGTATTTTGGATCTGCCACTTCAACAGAGGTTTTCTTCCATTTGTATTCAATTTCATTTCTGGGGTATCCATCTAGAATGAAACAGAGCAAATCAAGTGTTCAGCCACAGTATATACCAAAGCATGTTTGTGATCTCTGAAGTTGTTTATAAACTAAACCAGGGCTAAACATAAAGTGGATCAGAGAGAAAGCCAATCTATAGTCCACCTGATACACTTAAAATTTAACCACAAAATATCTAGCCTCAGTTTTAGGCCTAGATAAATGTATCATCTATCAAAAACTATGTAAATACAAATGTCTAGGAAATATCTACACAATATTCTGGAACTCAGACATGAAAAACTGCCTAAGAATCATCACTATGAATTAATACACAAATGTAATATACATTATCATTAAAAGACCACAAAGAGCTTAAAAGAACAGACACTTGTTAGTACATAGTTTGATAAAATTCCTATTGATGTTCACTGAAAATTTCTTTGTCTGTTATACCCAGAATGGATTTTTGTTGCCTGATTCACTGTCCAGTACTTCAAATTTAAGGAAGTGCAACACTCTTGATTTTCATGGGCCTTACATGTTGCCCGACATTATCTTGCAGAAAGGCAGAAATTAAATTAAGCAAGACTCATGTGTGTGGCACAACTATTTAATCAATGGGCCTACCAAAGCTCATTTAGCTGGAAGCACTCAAGAAGGAAGTACTAAATGAAAACATTAATTTAAAAAGAATCACTGAAGTTTGATTTCTTTGCCTATTAGGTTTCACATTTAAGAATAAGTCGTTTAGCTCTGTTCAGGTGGTTTGGCTTTCTTTTGCCAGTAATAGCACAATTCCCTTAGGAACAATTTTTTTTTTTTTTTTTTTTTTTTTTTTTGTAATATAGTTTATATTAGAGAAATGAAGCCTGAAAGTTGTGTTTCTTGCTCGCATAAATAAGTCCCACTGAAAGGAGAAGGACTTCTTATCGTGATTAAGCATTTACAGGAACGAGTTGAAGAAGACAGATCTTATTTTTCCTTTTAAGTATACCACATGGAACTAATTCAAAGCTGGCAAGTCTGACAGGCATAGAAAATAAAGTTCTTCCAGGGCAATAAATTTCCATTAACTGGAATGGGCATTGTATCAGACTCCTAAGCAATACGATTATTTTTAAAGTTGCAACTAAATGAAATGCATGTAATTCAACTCATTCATTACTGTATTTAATAAGGCATTAAAAATGCAATAAATCTAATCAAAACATAAACAGGTTAGTTCTTTCCTTCACTACAAGGCTTTAAAAAGTAAACACTTGCTCTCTTGCTGCCAGAATTTAAGGAAATTTAAAGCCTGAATGTAAAGGGAAAAAAAAAAGTATTTTACCACCTACAGCTTGAAAACTCCAGTGGACAGGAGTGTTCATCCATAGGAAAGTTATGAAGCTGAAGATAACATTCAGCATTAATTGTCAGCCTAATTAGAAAAGAAAGAAAAAAAGAAAAAAAAAGAAAAAAATTATATTCAAGCATCCAGACACTTCAGACTAGATAGTAAAGAACATGCACAGAAATCAATTTTGCCAATTAATGGATGTTATGCATAGGCAACTGTGTATGGGCAAAAAACATCCAGCATCACTGCCAAAGGACAAAGCCTCTCATCATATGCAACCTGAGGACCTGCATTGTTTCAGCTGGCATTTTGAGCCATTTCAAAAATTTCAATTGATTGGGGGGATCTCTCAGCTCTCTACCAGAAATAGGGGATAAAAGGGAGGGACTGAAGACAGGGCAAGGACAGGAGTTTATGATAGCAAATAAAGGAAGCTTCTGAAGAACACACTTGTCAAGTCAAACTGCATTTGGTGTCATTGTATCTGGTGGCTATATATACAAGACACGAAGTGGGGACACTCTTGGCCTTGCTCTATACTCATAGAAGCAACTCTGGTGAAGACAGTAGCATGTATAGGAAAGAGCAGACTTGATATTTCTACTCATTTAATGTCTAAGGCATTCAAGTAATTCAGGCAGCTAATATACATTTTAGAAGTAGTTTAGGACTCATAATGATATCAACTGAATCACTTGCTGCTTTTGAAAATATTATCACAGATTTCCAAATACCTTCCAAGCAACCAATGCAAAACCCAGTTCTGCTAGCTTTCACTAGGAAGCTAGAGTAAGGGGCTAGACTCCAAACTGCCTTCTTTGCATTTAAAATAGCTCCTCCTTTGTTGGTAACACAGTGAAGAAAGTCAGAATGTCTTCTAAAATCAACTTTGAAAATTAACATACTGGACTGTATGCAATACTTACATACTAGACAGAAAAGAATGGGGAAAGCAAGATTCTGCCACACGCTGTCAGAAAGCCCTATAAGTCTGTGAACAAAGTAGTTCTACACAAAGCATCACCAGGGCCTTTCTAGAAATGTGTCCTGACCAAGACAGAGGTTTATAAGGGAAAGTGTATTTCTTTCCATTCTAATTCTTCTTACTTCTGGCACAGAAGACTTTTATAAATTTTTCATGCAACACAACTAGCCTGCATATGAAAACAGCATAAATGACGGAAAAGAAAGTAATTAAGAGGTACTACTTTTTAAAATAAATAAATAAATAAATAAACTCTTAAGAGCAGAATCAGATTTATGGCATCCTCTGCATGGACTGCTTCTTGATCAGCTCCTAATTTATTGCTAGGGGTTTTTTTTTAGGTGTACTTAAAAAATAAAACTGAGAGATGACCCTAAAATGCTTTCTGTAGACTACAGCCTTTCAAGAACTGTTTGATAAGTGACTCAAAGATCAGTACCGATAACCTAGATGGTAAGCTTAAAACCAGGCCAAGCATCCCCCATTTGCCAAGAAGAATTATCACCAAGTTTGCTTATGCCTAATTTGGATGAACAAATTTGTTGATTTTAATAGCTTGCAAGGGTAAACATGTGAAGAAGTATGTGCAGGACTGGGGCCTTAGCTTTAATCAAACTTCTTAAGATTTTATCATCTGAAGCATTTCATCTTTTACTTAAAGAATATAATTTGGTGGAAATTAGATACTGAACTATTTAGAACAGAAAGTCTCAAAACAATTTATGACTAGATCTGCAATATGTTAGTGACAGACCATCACATCATGCTACATGCTACATAACATCTTTTTTTTAATCTTGCCTGTACCTAAATGAGATTAAAATTTGCTATTCCCTTCAATTGTCTTTACCCAGTTATCTAGGAAATATATTTCAATGCTATTAATTTCATGTTTTAAATGACCTAATAATTTTTTTGTTTGTTTTGTCTCCTTTAGTAAACTCCTTGCAAATTCTTGTGGTCCACAACATAAGAGATGCCAAGGATTTGATTTACATTCATTATTTTCATATTCCTGGTCATAACAGTTTTTGGTTTTTTCTACCCAGTTAATAAAAACCCACCTTAGAGTGTATAATACTCTTCCATCACTCCAGATTCGAAGCAAACGATTTGGAGTTGTAATCCAGTGAGCATCAGATTTCCTTGAGTTCCGGAAGAAAGTGTCTGGAATCCAAATTTTTCCAACCATGTTGCTATTAAGCATAAGCACTTTCATTGAGCTGTTAAATTTTAGGCGACTGTCATACCACGTCTGAGCAAAAATTATATCTATGGTGTATTCCTAAAAACAGAGAAACAACAATACCTATGTATACATTTACCAAAGTTTGCAAGCCAAGATTTTTTAATTCACTACTTCTATTCTCTTTTGTATTACCATTTTCATAGCACACAGCAGCCTGTTACCCCACACTGAGAAATTACAGACTGACGAAAGACGTACCCAGCCTTCTGTCCCTACATCCTCTCCCCTGACACACATTGATTAGTTAAGGAAGAGGAGACGTGGTGGGAGCTTGCTGGAACTTGGAAGTCCCTGCACAGTGCAACCACCTCTGGGGGCCCTAGACAGAAATTTAAGGGCAACCTTAATACTTCAGGGCTAAACTATGTTTGTAAAAACAGAAATTCTACATCTCTTAAGAAGCAAACCAAATAAACTTTCTATATTTTCCCCCCAAACTTTACAACATGCAATTTAAGATTCTTCAAGAAATTTCAGATTTTGGAAAATTCATGAATATGCAGGAAGTAAACATCACAGTTTGCAGAACTATCTGTTACCATATGCCTCATAGATTACCTACATACACACAAAAGTATACAGAATCATAATCAGGAAGGAAATTTCCCTAAAGCAATTCCACTTCACTTATTGAAGTCTCAAGAAAGCTCCTTTTGTGATAGAAAGTCAAATTCCTCTGCAAACTTATGGCCAGAAAAGAAAGGTGAAAAATAAAATTAAAATAAATAAATAAACAAATAAATAAATAAAAGGAAACCCACGGCCTTTTAATGAGACAATTCTTGACACAGTAAAACTTGAGGGAGATAAACATTACAGATGCAATGAAATATTGTTTTTCAAAGAATCCAGCCAGTTGTTCTTGTACTTCAGACAAAGGAGCAAAGCAGCAACCTCTTCTCTGTTGTATTTGTCACAGCTCCAGACCACGACTCTGACCTTGAGGGCAACAGTCTCTCTACTTGATGGCAGATGTGATCTTTCCTGCACGGCTGCACCATGAGGGCTCCAATGAGCAACTCAGCAGCTCCTCTGCAGGGAAAAAGAGCTGGAGAAAAGACTTAGACACTTGGTGTTGGTTGTTCACCTCCCAGTTACCAGATGAGCGGGCAGGGGGAAGAAAGGAGGAGACACTGGTTCAAACTCTTGCTTGAGCCAGAGGGGTCATTACTAGTTTACTTGGTCAATAAAAATGCACAGTCAATTCTGTTTTTAAATAAAACAAAAGTGGAAGGTTTTGCTGCTTGGAGTAGGGTTTTTTGTTCATTTTACTTTTAAATAATCACAGCAGCCAACCGTACTAGTCACAGACTCCTCACTCATTTCTGCAACTGATACCACCCATCTCCCAGGAAAGTTTGAGAAATTTGGCACTTCATCCTTGAGAAGTGCCAAGGCAGATACTCCAGGACTACCTAAATCTCTCTTAATTTTTCCACCTCTCCAGGTAGGACAAGAATATGTTCGGGAAATAGATATGCAAGGGGGAGATTTGCCCTTGCTCTGTGATGTGTGGCAGCTGGACTGTGGTAACTCAGTGATTCTCAAAGGTTACGAATAACTAGTGTATGAGGCAAACAGTGGAGGGACAGAGGGAACAAAAGGACTAATCAAAAATGCATTTTAGAGATTACTTTGCTGTAAAACTCTGCTTATTCCTTGCATTGCAAGGAATGCAATGCAATTTCTGCATTGCTGTCAGGGGAAGATTCTGCAGGTCAAAACAAGTCCTTGATTATTTTATTTCTGTAAACAATGTTCAAGACATCTGTGAAAACCCAGGGCCTGTTTAACCTTAAAATTCAGCTTTCTGTGCTCATCTATAGTGGTTACAAATGGGAAGGAGACTTGCCTTGTTGTAGTGTAAATGAGAGGCCGAGGCAGTGCACCAATGGGCTTAAATGGAACAGAATGAACAAAGGTTTACGTGTTACGTTCACAGTACAAATAGGAGAAAAAAAGAAGTCATTGAGTGAAACCAACAGACACGACCAAAGGTATGTAAAGAGCAGACTGACTGAGTCTGAAGGTGCTGCTCTAAGCAGCCACTTCACAGTAGCACTGCATTGTCTGAGAAAAAGAAATTTATCAAAATGTCATTACAGTCAAATCCATCCAGCGCAAGAAAACTCGGGTTGCCATAGAATACCACCCTAACAAATTAAGATAAAAAAGGAAGAGGAGCTCAGAGGTTATTTTGAACACACAACGTAAAGGAACAGCCTCAGAGGACCCAGATGCTTGTATTCTCTTACCTTTCAGTATTAAACGTGCAAGTTTTTATCATACCCATGTGTTACAGGAGTTGTTTAAAGAACGTTTTGGAAAAGAAAAAGAAAAAAAAAAAAGAAACTTTGTTAAAATCCTTCATGATACATTTATCACTGTTCAAAAAGAATCTAATACAAAATAGTTTAATGTCATAAAATTAGTAACTACTTGTTTTCCAAGTATCTTGCTGAATGTGTAAGAGATCCAATTGCTAGCCACTTGTCACATACCGGCAGAGGGTGGTCCTCCATTTGTAAGCTGACACTTCAGCACCCAGACATCTCCCTTTCCCTCAGGAGTCAGCCAACCAATTCCCTCAGGAGTCAGCCAACCAAAGGCATAATCCTGCTATTCATCCCACCTGAAAGACATGGGCTTGCAGTCTCACGGTGGGTGGCAGCAGCAGTTCACCCCCCTCTTCAGCAGGGACCCAGAGTCAGTGCTCTCTGATTTCTCCCAAGAACATCTATTCCACTTCTAACATCTGCCTTGGTGGACATTACTACCTTCTTCTTCAGAACATCTATTTGTCCTATGCCTCCCTGAGACCTCTGCCTTTGAGGGTCCATAATACATCCTGAGGCTGCATATATTCGTCATACAATGCATCTCACACGGGATCACATTTTCAACCCATTATATCTACACTATCTTTCACTCAAGAGAACTTTAGCATAATGTCCAAGCACATGCATGTACTCACATTGTAGAGGTGCAAGACATGTGAAAATGGGGCTCAAATGTATATTAGCTTCCTTTCTGAACACAGGTTTCCCTGCAGAAGAGGCCAGATGGCATGGGTCCAAATAGAGCCCAAGCAGTCACCAAGCACAGGCAAACATACAGGATGATCAGACAACTAAGAGTCTGGCAGCATGCAGCTGTGACAGTATAGACACTTGAGAGCAATAGCCTGAAAGGGAAAATATGCTGGGGAATTATCAAGAAAGTTGGATTCTTTCTGAAAATCTAGTTTTTGAAATGGGCCTGAAATTTTCAGGTTTTATAAATTCATACACTGAATTCCCTTAAATTTGTGGTTCCTAAATAATATTTCATATTTCCCTTTAAGAAGGGGAAATCTGGGTCTCTAAAATGTGTTGAAAATGAGGTAGAAAAATCACTATACTCTCTTTTATGGAAGTGCTTTTTTTCCAAAATTAGATGAATAGAAGTCCTATCTTTGTTTAAACATCATATGGGCAAGCACACAACAACACACCAGATTTATACAACATTCTTTCAGTGCAACAAATCTTTCTGAACAACTATTTTGTTTTCCTTGTTTTCTTACAAAAAGTTAAATTTAACACTCTTATCCCTACTTCTGTTAGTCTTTCATAAAACTCACTGTTCAATGCCACTGTGTAACCGTAAAAATTGGCTTACTACTCTCTCTTTCAAATGAGACTAATGATAAAATAGCCATGCAGAATAAAATGGAATCAATCTGTGGTTGTGTTAGTCACAGCCATAGCAAAATGCATGCTTATTCATATTTAGCCTCACAGGGTTCAATAACCATGGCACACGTTAGCTCGTATTTGGTGTTTGATTAGATCACTGAACTCTTTTTTGCACAGCTGGCATAAAGAGCCCACCTGCCTAATTATTTACAGATAAGTGTAATCCTCCTCCATCTCTTTCCTCTCTAAAAGATCATAACAAACTCCAAAGGCTGGGAACACAGTGACTAATCAGAGATTACCATTAAAGGGCCAGGCAATGAACAAATTGTGAATATTGACAAGCAGGTGTATAGTCTCGGAGAAAATAATTTAATAAATAAAAGCAATTACTTCAAATAAAGTAGGAACAGCTACTGTATGGGAATAAATGGAATTCTCAATATCAGTTTCATTGTCATGCACAGTTCAATTACAGTCAGACATGAAAATGGACCAGTGGATTGGGTTTTTTATTGGAAAGCTGTGAAAGAAAGGGAGGCAGATACCATCCTACATGATTGTTTCTTAGCACAAACCATATCTACACCAATTCCAACATAATATCAAAAAGGATGGAAAAAAATCTCACAAAGCAGAAAAAAGATTTTTCTTGGATATTTTGCCTGGCAGTCTCACAACTGATTTGATATTCCACAGTAAAAAGTGTGGAGAAGTCAAGCAATGAGTAGCTAAATTGTTGGCTGGATCATGTTAACTGCAACACATTTTGTCTGAGAACAGGAAAAAAATGGCCCTCTTTTCCGGGGCCACAAAAGCAATGAAAAGTCCCAAACCCAAACTCAGACCTGAAAAATTGTATTAGTGAATTTCAGAGAAAAATGAATAAAAACATACTCCTGTCATTTCATCTTTGCTCAGAAACCCACCCCAGCTTTTCTCTCAGATTCAAAATTTCACCTGAAGTGCACCTGGAGTTTTCTGGAACGCAATAAGCTAATTCAGAAATCTGTTCCATAGAGAGGCCCTGAACTCAGTTCGATTACCAAGTGTGACACTGCTTCATCTTATTCAGTTATCTGAGCTTCAAGATATTTTCCCCATGTTTCCTCGTTCTATTCAGCTTTCTAATTCCTTAAATTGGAACTTTATGGGAGGCAGGCAGGGAATTCTTCAGAAAAAAAATTAAGAAAACACTCTACCAACCTATATGTTTTGACATTAGGAGATGTGATTTAATATCAAAGACTCAGTCTAGTATGCTGATTAAGAGGTTTAAAAAACAAAGAAAGTCATAGACAGAACTGGTAACCACATGCTTTCCTAAAAGGAAAGCACCAAATAAAGCATCAAGCATTA